TTGGTGCGGGTGGTATTGGAGCTGGCGGTCTTGTGGCCTTTCTTCAATCTCTTGGTGTGGGTGGACTGGCTTCTTTTGTAATGACACAAGCAGGGCAGGCCTTGATAGCAGTTGGTTGCCTAACAGTGTTACCGGAAGAGGATGAATGAATGAAACCAACGAACTGGCACGTTACTCGTGTGACAAAGAGCCAAATAATCACTTCGATTTTTTACTTCACTCAGTTGTTACATTTATTTTTCGATTTATTCGCTATAGACCTGTACCGTAATATGAAATGAGATATTATTGTAGAGAATGAAAATAGAAGAGGAGTATTGCAATATAATAGAAAAAGTAGAAATGATATAATAGAACGTAATATATAGACATGCAATAAAGAGTACTGAAAATATTCGTAATAGGGAATATGGTGACGATCCGTTTCAACTTATGAGCAACCAGTCACCAGAATTGCCGAAATATCTTGTGTAACAACTTTAAATAATTCGGTATAAATACCTAGCCCCAGTGCTATTATCAGGTACAGTGCAGTGATACTATTAGATCAGTGGTACACTAGTACAATGGTATTGTGATGTTACTTGTGGTATTATAAAAGGTTCAAGAGTATATGGTATTAATTATTGCTCGATATTTTACTGATCTGAAACAAACCAATCCTCGTCGCGAGGCTCCGGTCTTGAGAACGAGATGGAAGTATCTGAATCAATGCAAACAACGCAGTCAGCCGAGAAGCCCTGGGAACGAAAATGCTCATGATAGTGATAAGTGATGCTACGTTTAAAACCAATTACAAACGAGGTGTCAAGGTGTCAAGTTTTTTCGCAGAAATGCTTTACCAGGAATTGCGTTTAAATATGCACCAGTCATGCGCACAATTACAAACGAGAACTTGTTCTGTGTCAAGTTTTTTCGCAGAAATGCTTTACCAGGAATTGCGTTTAAATAGAGAAAGTGAAACAACCGCGTTTTGAGTTTGTGCTGACAAGTGACAAACGATATAAATTAAGTAGAGCTCAAACTGCCAGAAAAGACATGAAGGGTTTTTCAAGAAAAGCTTTTGTTCTTCTCGTCTGTGTTTCTCTTCTACTGGATCAGAATGTGGTTTGGCAGTAAGTGTTTTTAGGAGAGAGATTGTGAGAAACCGTTTTGTAATGGATTCATTAATAATTCATGAAATTGACGAGAAAAACACCAAGGATATATTACGATCGTGTGCCTCAAATACTGGTCGGATTAGTGTATAGTTTCAGAGCTTTTTGTGTTTAAAATTGAGTAACTCTGAACAAGATCGTTGTTACAAGATGACCATTTTTTACAAGCTTGCAATTGTTGACAATGATATAAGTTTTTTACGTCCGTAATAGTTCGGTAATGCAGTTGTAATGAATATCTGGTTCCAGTATAACCTGCATGTGGTATTATTGGTGTACAACAATAACATAAAACTGAGCAGTGTAACTTTTTCGCTGAAATTTTTACTTGCTCTGATCAGGATTTGCGTTTTAATAATGCAACAGTCATATGCGCAACGTAGACTTTCTCCTTGTATTTTCGGCATATTGTAAACACTGGACTGGACTTTGGACTTTGGACTATGGACTTTGGACTTTGGACTTTGGACTTTGGACTTTCGATTTTGAAATTATATTATTTTTTAGATTTTCGTATAATTATAGTAAAATCTAAACAGAGAACGAAAATTTGCTGCTGAAAAGCGTGCTACACTGCATGCACAT